TTATGCTCTGCTCTCACTATTTATTTCCTACTACATTATTTTTATAATCCGAAACTATGCAAATGTAGACACATACACACCCAAAGCATGCTGTGTCTTCAACTCACAAACTTACTTGTATTGACGATTATTGTAGCCGGTTTACTCTTCCTTTCCCTGCTGGTACAAATCATCTCAATTGTGTATTGACTTCCAGGAGCAAGTCCTTTAAAGCTGTATGATCTGTGAACACACACAGAACAACAGTCAGTGATTATCAAGTATCAAAGTTCCTTGTTGTCTTTGGATCAGCTGAATGAATTTCCAGTGTCATAAAACTGGGGAAATGTGTGTTGGCTGACGCGAGTGAGACTGACCTGAGCGCCACATCAGAAATGATCAGCTCTTGACAGGATGTTGTGTTTTTGATTGACAGGATGCGTGCGCTCATCACTCCCCTTACCAGACTCCAGCTGATGCATATGGACGATGTGGTTTTATTGACCAGAGACACCTCCACTGGGCTGGGAGCTACAGGCACATACAGAAAACAACACAAAAGAAGCCTAAGCAACATGTTTGCGGGCGTGCATGCGTGCATGCGTGCGGGCGTGCGTGCGGGCATGCAGGCGTGCATGCATGTGTGCGTGTGTGTGTGTGCGCATGCATGTTTACCTGCTGTGATGTTGATGGTGACAGGGAAGCTGTCAGTGAAGGACTCCTTCTCTGTTCGTACTGTAAAGTGATAGAGTCTGCCTGGAGTTAGACTGGAGAACACTGCGCTCTGGTTGAACACCTTCTGCACCTGTAGCAATAAGAGCCTTATTATACTGTGTACAGTAACAGCATTACATAGAGGGGGAGAGGGGACGTTACGCTCATGCATACATGTACTTTTGATACACAGAAACATGTTTACAACTGGTCACCATGAAAATGAGAGAACCTCTCATTGAATTATCTATCTAGATGTTACCAGAATTTCTGGGAAATCAGATACAAACTTCAGACTCTTCCTAACCCTGAGATGTCCGGGTGTGAACATTCACATTGGGTTTTTTTTCAATCTGTTTACCATGTGTGAACGGTCACAGTTCAGGCAGACAACCTCGAACCTCAGAGCTCGTCCGTGTGCGGGATCCCAAAGCAGCTCAATGGATGAGTCTGTCACCACGCCCTCCCTCACTCTGCTGGGAGGGACCAGACCTAAAAAAACAAACCATATCCCACAATGCATACAGTAATTATTACTCTAACAAACTGCAAACACTCATTATTTATTATCTGTTTACAAGTGTTTTCCAATAAAAGCAGAGAAACCACCTATGAGAGCCCATGTATTTGTACGCACTAGAATTAACAGAGATAACTCACTCGTTCTAAAGGTACTGGTGTAGTACGGAGGTCCTGTCTGCTCACGGCTGGTGCTGTAAACCTTCAGCTGGTACTCAGTTCCTGGACTGAGGTTCTTGAGTGTCACAGTTTGAATGCCAGCAGGGAGAGAGTACCAGTCGCATGAGTACCCACATGATCCCTCACACAAAGGGTCACAAACTCCCGGACACATACACACTTTCACCCCATCTGTCAGACCCAGCTGTGGATGCTGAATGTACAGCTGTGCAGAGGTTGCGCTGACTGACAGAGGCACTGCGACCGGAACAGGTAACGGATCTGCAGATAAAGAGGGAGACTTAGTTTCAAAAATGGGTAGAGAGGTTAAACCTGATATAAATATTGTCGAAGGCTGTATTCTTGTTTCTCTTACCTGTGGTGTGAGTGATGCTGGTTCTCTGGCTCTGGTCTTTTCCGATCAGTGCAACCATTCCTACTTCATAAGTCTGACCTGGAGTAAATGGGCCCAGATCAACACAGTTTCCACCAGGACTGGATTGGTTGATCCACAGTGAAGAAGCGCTGGGGTTACTGAGTGGGTGGGCTGTCATGTAATAAGAATCCGGTGGGTCGTCATGTGGACTGGTCCAACAGACCGTCAGATTTCCCCTCGAACTCAACACCACCAGACCACTAGGGGCCCTCACCGCTAAGAAACACAACGGCAGAAGGTTAAGTTTTCAACTGAGGCGCAAACAGCATCTGCAAAGTTAATCCTGTTTGCTACATTTTAATAACAATTACAAGTTATAATGTCAATATAAAAACATCTGCAACCTATCTGCTTTGGTTGGGAGGACTGATCAACAAGCTCTTCTGTGCAGAATCAATAAACCCAAACTCTCCTCAGTCTGTATGGAAATTTGGAGACTTTAAAAAAAGACTCATCATTTAAATTGGTTGTATTTATATTAAGCATCTCTAGTTTTAATACCACTCAAGGTCCCACTCACCCACTTATACTGCACTTCTATATGCTGCATTTTTCCTCATCACACATCAGTCACACTCTGACTGAACAGCATCAGTGTCTTGGCTGAGGAGATTTCAGCGGGGATCGAATCACCAACCCTCTGGTAAGATGAAGGGGGCCGTTTCACACTTACCAGTCTGTACAGTCACAGGCGTCTGTCCACAGCTCTGGATCCCGTGCTGCGTGACTGCATAAACTTCAACCACGTACTTCCTGTGAGACGCCAGCCCTCCAATCACAGCCGTGTATGACTGCAACCTACCAGTCTCTGATGAGCAGGAGATGTTGATCATTCCAACTATCCTCTCGTTTCTCAAGGACATGTCCATGTATCGCACAACAAATGTCCCTCCAGCAACGTGCTGCACATCTGGCAGAATCCAGTGGACACTCATCTGACTGACTGTTATGGAGCCCACAGTGATGCTCTGAGGAGGAAGTGGCCCTTTAAGAAAGAAAGATTACATTTGTGAGCAGACAATAGAGCTTTTTGTGTTGCCTTTGTTGTGTGTCAGCAGACTCACTGGTGTACGCAGTCAGTGTCTGTCCCAAGCTCCAGCTGGAGCCAGCAGGGTGAGAAGCTCCAAGGGTGAATGAGTATATGCTCCCTGGAGACAAACCTGCCACGGTTACCCCTCTGGACGACAGGGAGATGGGGACTTTGACCATTTTATCCTTTTTGTCCTCTGACGTCCTGCTTCTACTTTCTTCACTTTGCCCCAACTCTTCACATGTCTCCTTTTGGTACTGGAGGAATATCTCAAAAGATGAATGATCGAGTGAGCTCAGGGAGGAAAAGTCACTCCAGCGAAGCTCCACCTGATGCTCCGTCACCTGAACCAGGTCAAAGGAGAAGGAGGCAGGGACTTGAGGGGCTGAGGTGGAAATGAGGAGGAGAAACACATTACAATGAATTATTTACCCTGAGATTGAGCCATAGTAAAGTAGTATAGATCATTTCAAAAAGTTATTTAATTGATAATTGTGACATAATGTAAAGTGATTCATTTGTGAAGATGTGAAGTTAGCTTACTCTGGTATTGACAGATGAAGGGTAAGTTGATGTTACAGAAGAATGGAGTGAGGAAGTATCCTGGTCCTGTGGCATTCCTCTGGAGGGCAAAACAGTCTGTGTGATTGGCCGGCAGTAACGTCATCATCATGTCCGTCAGGTTATATGGCGACCCATCAGTCCAGAGCGGTCGGCCCTCCTCCTGTGAGGCGACACACGAGAGAGATTATGTCCTGCATACACAGACATCCCTGACTGTCACAAACAAACCTCCCCCGTTAGGAGTTACTGCCACCAAGACACTTTCTCAGGTTACAAAGTAAACTAATTAGCACAGCCTAAAAGTTTAAATACCATCATCCTCTTTGATTTTGTGACCGATAGGACCTAACTGCAGCCTTCAATAAAGGCAGCACCAGAGAAAACTGTGAGTTTGAGCCATAGGTCATTAACTTTTTATACCTCATTCAGCATGCACCAGATATTCACACCTATTTGGTTATTTTCTTAAAAACATGTGATAATCATAATTCTCTACATTGTCATATCCAGTGATTAGGTTCATTTACATTGATGAGAATGTTCATTACTGTCAAAGGTACACACCAGATTCCCACATACTGAGGTACTCAAAGTGTTCGACATTTCCTGTAGGAATTAGTGAAAAAATGTTGTGCAGGAAAGTTTAATAATACTCCAGATTATTTTCAAAGCTACTGCCCTGCAGTCCACTTTCCATATAGCCCTCCATATCCAACAGGATCAAGTTCTGTTTGAACTTCAGGGTGGCTGTGGCTCTGGAGGTTGAGCAGGTCGTCCACAAACCAAAAAGTTGGTGGTTCGACTGGCTCCTCCAGTCTGGATGCTGAAGAGTCCTTGGGTAAAACACTGAACCCAAAATTGGCCCTTACGGTGCTGTGAATAGAAGCACTATGTGCTTTGAGTGTGAAATGTTAAATAAATATATTCCATTTATCATTTAATTTCTACACAGTAAAATAAAATCATAATCTTTTAATAACAAAATTCAATTCTTATTCATTTATATTCTCAAATGTAAACTGTTATTAAATCATTTTGCACATTGTCAAATAAAACACAGTAAATTGAAAAATGTATTTACATTTTTATCAAATTATAAATTATGACCAGTGCCGATAATATAAAAAGAAAAACAGCTTATCTCCCCAGTGCCTCTGTGCCTTTGTATGTATAAAAAATAAAGTCACCTGCTGGTCACTGAGTCCAGTCCAGAGTAGCAGCAGGTTGTTGTGGCTCAGCAGGTGAGAAGATACAAAAGTCAAATCATGGAGACTCTTGAAGTCAGCCAGGTGACTTCCAGCTGCCAGCTGTTTACAGCTGTGCCGAGCGTCGCTCCATGTCAAAGCTCTTCTTCTCACAGTGTAGCAGCTCCGTTCTCTGGCCGGCCAACCAGGGGGGCACTGAGCTGCAGACAGAGATGATCATCGACTTACACCAAACAGCTTGCAGTCAGTTTTTAGGTTGATGTGGTATTGAAGTTGTTGTACTGTACCAGTTTCCATGCCGATGCTGAGTCTCTGCTTCAAGATCACATTGAGGTGTCTGAGCGATGTGGTCACCACAATTTTGACCTTGAAGCGTGTACCAGGCCGGAGACCTGTCACGGCAAACTGGGACTTTCCTACCTCGGAGGGCTTCATGTTGAATGTGTGTGTGACAGATAATGTGTGAGTGTTGTACAGACTCAGGGTGGAGAGGTTTTGCTGTCTGTGAAGTTCCCATGTCAGGAGAGCGGAGGTCGTTGTGGTGTGTACACGAAAAGAATCCAGGGAGACTGGAACTGAGGTAGAGACAAGAAGACGGAGCGTTAATCAACTTCAAAACATTCTTCATTGCAGTGCTTGGTGCACGTCGAGTTCACACACTTACTTAAGTGAAAAGTCTTTGCCTCGAGTGTGGTGTCATTCCTCCGAGAGCTCAGTGTGATGTTATATCCTCTTCGGTCTTCAACCAATTGCAGGGACTTCTTGCAATCAGAGCATGCTGATGGATCAATGGGCTCCACATACACCTGCAGAGAGGATTCCTCAAAATAAACTCAAGCTTCACAGAAAGACAAATCGTAATCTTGTATTCTTACCAGATGGTTACTTGCAGTCCTGCAGGTCACTGTGTAGGTGTCTGGATCTTGACCAGAAGGGAAGGACTGAAACTCAACTTCAACCTCAACAGGATTTGAATGTTGTTCACAGGTCAGCAACGCCACCTGAGGAACAGGGGGATGAAGATTGAAATTATTTGCTTAAAAAAGGAGTCAAAATGCTTATATGTTCAATTCAAATAAATTCAAATGATTTATTCTGCAATTCAAGGAAAACAAACAAAAGTGCACAGAAAATGTATCCACACAAAAAATGACAAAATACTGACAAATCTAAAAATACCTGCTGGCAGCAGCTCTACCTCAAAGGATGTGTTGGCTCATTGATAATGTTAAATGCCTTTTTAAGGACTTGACCAGAATGAAGCTGGTGTAATGGTTTAATGCTCATGTCCTGGAAAAATACTAAAACATAAAGAAAAGATATAATCTGCTTCACAACGATTTCAATCTGTGGAGGCCTCATTCTTACCTGACACAAACTTGCAAACAGCCAAAGACGCTCTGTTCCAGCCATTGGAAATGTCACTCCATCTCATCCAGTGCACGTCTTCAGTCACTGATCCACATGGACACACATCCACCTCTGCCTGCGCCTTCAGCCTCCGGTGGCTTCATGCGTAAACCAGAGACAGCTGTGCGTAAACATCGGCTGCGGAAATTCCCAAAAACTATTTATGTCGGTGAGCACACAGCGGAGCGTCAAAAAAAAGCGACCGGTGACTTCTGAATTTTTTCTCTCAGACTTTCAAGGGTTTTAAATTAAGAGACACACGCCCATTTCCTTAAATCATGGTGAAATCTTTTTTTAGGTTTTACGCAAAGCCTTGACTTTGAATTTAGCGCGCACTTAAAGTCTGCTCTCAATGGCTCCTTCCCCTTAGTAGCAACGACTTTTTAAAAGGTAGAGACCTCGTGTATGAATGGGAGGAGAGAGAGAGTGTATGTGTGTATGAGTTCAACCCAACTTGTTTTGCCTCTCTGTTGGAATAAGTGCAGCTCTCCATGGTAACCACGGGCACATGGCCAAAGCTGGTCTCCTGAGGAGATGAGAGGTGGAGAGGCTGGAGAAGTGAGATGTGGTGGTGGGCATACTGGGGGGGAGGGGAGAGAGATGTGGTGCTGAGGTTTTACTGGTAACTGAGATGTGTCCCAGCAGAAAGTCAATGAGCCACTGCAGTCACAGCAGAAACATGTCCAAAGTGTTTTTTAATTTCATTTCCATGAGTTCATGCAAACCTCTAAAATAAGCGCATGTGCACCGAATTGTTCATGACATTTCAGTGGTGAGGATGGTTTGGCTCGGAGCTGGGGTGTGGTGGAAGCGCTGGTCCATGTGGAATGGCAGGAATGTGAAAAGGGAGAATGTGATGGACAGACAAGAGAGCTGAGACCGACTGAGGGGTTCTGTTATGAAGGAGGCGACTCCCCCGCAGCAATAAGCTTCCAGAGGTGGAACACAAACAAAGGTCAGCACCGCACATGCTGAATCAGGATGAGAATGTGTGTGTAGTAAGTGTTTGAGGAGGGCAAATTAGAAGGTTGAGCAGAGAGGACACACTGCAAATCACTGACAAATCAGACAGAGATACTGTTTATTGTTTTATTCAACTAAATTACTTACTCATTTTATTACAAAGATATTTTGGAAAACCATTAAACTTCTAAGAAAACAAAGCATCCCGTTTCACTTCCATTTGTACAAAGGCTACATTTATGTCTAAGACGAACCAAAATGCACGTACAGTGTTTAAACCCACCAGCTGATACAATAAAAAATACAATCGTACATAAAAGCAATTGTTATTATACAGAAGGATAAAAGGCTTAATGACTTTTTACCATCACTTGTAAGAACTAAAAAGCTAACTGGACTGTGTTTGCACAGCAGGATTCAAAGAAAATAAAAAGTGCAGACAAAACTACTTAAAAGCAATCTCCCACTTACATCAGTGATTTAATCATCTTTAAATTACGTCTATGACCCACGGCCAGTGTTGTAAAGTACTAAAGCGATACACACAATAAAACATGGCTGGTTTTCATACTGATGCCTAGAACCCCTTCATTCTCTCATTGATTTTCTTCCTTCAGTGCCATTGGCAGGAACAGTCCAGAGGCTCTTGGAAGTGGTACTCCACAACCGTGGCGTTGCGAGAGCAGTAGAGCGTGACGGAGCGTGTTTGCAGTCCACTCTCGCGGCAGCACTTACAGAACCTGGCATGACTGTTGATGTTAAAGTTGAATATGGTGGCAGACGGACATTTCCCGTCGCAAGAATATACTGTGACCTGTGAGGGGGTGGAGGAAGGAGAAAGATGGAAAAGGAGAATTCACAACAATAGAAAGTATCAGTTCCACCCCCCCCCTCAGATAACTCCTCATTTTATGCCTCCACTTCTCTTTTCTCTCTCACCGGTGTATTGCTCCTGCAGTCATCTTTTCTAATGGTTGTCCGGATGGCCACGCGTTTGCACGTCTTACCATCCTCTTTACCTACACATGCACACGCATTAATGCTCAGAAAAAAACTCATGACATACACTCACCTCAGAGCTACAACAACACACAGGTGCTCACACACACAAACACGCTTTTGATCATTTCCCATCAGAGACCTGTCACTAACACACCCTGAAAGGCCTTTTGATGAGGGCTCTTTGTTGCCCAGCAGTAGGATCGTGCTTTGATTGACAGTTGGGTGACGGGGGGGCACAGTTCTCACAGCAGAGACCTGGCTTGCCTATTGGCTACTGATCTCAACTTAACCTTGTTTTTAAGCCAATCAAAGCTGGACAAATGGATTCTGTGTAGGGCTGAGATGCATGAAATAAGAGTAGATGATCTTGAGCTCTGTCTCAGTGGATCACCGTGTTGACATTAACACTCAACGCTTAGCATGCAACGTTAAATGTTGACTGGGACAGAAAGAAGATGAATAAACAGACACGCAACCAAAAAAATGGACACGCACACATTCAATCGAAGCTTGAAAGTACCAGTGAATGAGTCACTGTCAGGGATGTCATTGTGTACATGCAAACAGAGCAAGGTGGTGGTACCTGTGTCACAGTTAGTACTACCAGTGGGAGTTAGTGGATTAACGGTAAATGGCAAAACACCAACTCCAGAACCTGGGAGCATCGTCAGGACCGCAGCCGTCCAGTTCAAAGAACGCCAGGAGAACATACACACACGAGGTTACGTTTGGTTCAGAAAACACAGTTAATGTTACACACAAACACAGAGAAGGGAATCAGGGCAGCTGGCAAGCACATGGATTTCACTTATTTTTTTCTTTTTTCTTTTAGGCACTCCAGGCAGCCAGCCAAGGAACTGAGTCATTTGATGTACTACAGAAAGAGCAGCCCTGCAGGGTAAACTCTAACCCCTGCACCATTTTGCTTCCTCATTGGTTAAACGCTCACCATGGCGCTCCCCGATTGGCCCAGCCTGCAAGGTCACTGCTAAAGCGGGAGAGGCTGCAATGCCGAATCCACAGAGAGAGAAAATGTCACCATTGCAGGTTTCATCCACAAGACATCCAAATGTCTCATTATCATTTGTAAAGGAAACACGACAAACACAGATCAGGAAGTTATACATTGGCTTAGTGATGAATATTTAATTTTGAGTGCAGTCAAATGTGATGATTATATTCATTTTTATTATTTCCTTAAGTTTTTCACCAGATTTTGAGCTTGCAAATATGCCAGCAGACAAACTGCGAAAGCCAGGGATTGTGGGTAATGTAGCGATTGGCTTCATCTCCACCCTCTACAACAGGCCTCACCCCCAACCACTCAGCCATTAAGCCCATCATCCACTGCCAGGCAACAAGGCGCTCACCCTCTGATTGACAGCTCAAAGCACCAGACCAGAAGCACCAAAGAAATATGGAGACTCACATGTCCTGCAGCAGCCGTCCACGTAGCTCTGTACCATACCGCCATTCTGCAAGACGAGAACAAGAAGAGAGTTCACGAGAAACCCAGCTATGCACATTTTTATACATTATATGGGTGCAGTGAGAGAGATGGTGGCGTATACTGTTGAGGTGCTGACCTGAATACATTCTGTGTCATTGAATGGCGGACAAACCACCCCAGAGCCAAGGATCACTGCTCCCACTGCAGTTTCCATGCAGTCGTAACGTGTACAGTTCTCCACCCAGGAACTCCCTGCCTGCACACAGAGCCAGAATCAGCACTGCCCCGAAAAAAAAGGGAGCACGGGGTGGATTTACATGTTGACGAATTTGTTCTTACAGCAAAAAGCTCTGTTGTGCCGTTTTCATTAGCGAAAGTGCAGGAGACATTTTTACAGGAGCCGCAGCACACCTGAGGATCTGAGGACGGCGCATACACCTGGTGCTAAAAACATGAAGCAAATACAGTGGTGAAGGAAGAGTAGAATGACCTATGACCATTGATCTATGGAGGTACGGTGAAAGGGTTGGATGCATACTGGACCACATTTTTGGGAGCAGTTGACTGAGGTGATTTCCATAGCGTAGAAGCCTGAGTCTGGATCTCTGTGATTCAGGCAGTGGACAGTGTAACACAGCTCGCCCTCAAAGTACTGAACCAGAGTCTGGCCTGGGCTCAACACTGTTACCCTTTGGAAAAGACACACTTCTGCCTTCTCTACACACACAAACACACACACAGGATGAATAAGCTACCAGGGAGCCTGAAAATCGAATCAGTGGATAAACAATGTCTCCAGCATGTCCACTGTCACACTTGTGACAGGTGTTGTGCTTTCATGCAGGGATTATACATACGGCATATATGCTGAGGACAGCCGCAGTTAGTGTTGCCTTCTGGAACATCAACCAGCACCTCTCCCTGACAGGAAACATGAGCGCTGACTTAACTGAATTTGCTTCACTTTGTACCTTCACCTTCCAGCAAAGACGTGATTAGATAGTGACTTGTGGTGCGGCATCTTGCTGACTTACCACCTGACAGATGGGGAGAGAGCTGTCCTCACATTGGCATTCTGGGAATGACAGAAAGGAAGTTAAAAGGAGAGCTAGTGTGAAGTTTATGAAATTGGGTGGCAGCCGTAATAACTTCTGGGATTATTCGAATCATGAACTCAGCATGAACACAGCAGTGAAGTGACACCAGTGATAAACAGGGTGTGGGGGGCGTGTGTGTGTGCATGTGTGTACCGCAGTGATGCTGTGGACAGCAAAGATCGGGGAGAGAAGTTTGAACCAAAGAGAGACCAGGTGCACAGCTCACAGATGATTCAGGACACAGGTTGACATCGCACACTGCAACACACGGGAGAATCTATAAACCTGACTTTGAAGAGACACAGACAAAAAGGTTCACACACAGACATACACACATACCACAGTAGTAGTGTGGACAGCAGCTGTTGGTGGTGTTTAGATCCACAGCCAGAATTTCCCCGTTGGAGCATGTTGGAATGGGTTCAATACACGACTCACACACTGCTCAGACAGAAAACACAAACATCAAACTCAGTGTTGTTGACATAATT